GGAATCCGAGGGAATCCAAGGGAATCCGAGGGAATCCAAGGGAATCCAAGAGAATTCAAGGGAATCCAAGAGAATCTGAGGGAATTCGAGAAAGGGATGGGAATCCTGGAATTCAAGATTCCTGAATTCCGCTATTCACCCCTTGAAGATATGAAAAAAAAAGAAAATATCGATATTGATTTACCACTTGTCTACCACTGACCTTTTATCGTGTACTTACTTTCAGCCTCTTCTATTAAAATCTTTGTTGTATACAAAATTATACTAACGTACAAAAGGGTCTTTACTAACACGCTGTTATCTACTCTACATTTCTGTTCTTTTTTTCTCTTTTAATTTCTGTTAAACTCAACTTATTACTGCTGTTATCTTGTTAAATTACTAAAGGAACAATAAACTTTTCAATGTTAAAAAAAAACATGTTAAGTAACATTTATGATAACACATTTTTATTGTAATGTTCTTGATAATAAAATCCGTAAGTTAAATATTAATAGACATTATTGATTAATTGTATTTTTATTTCAGAAATATTTCTTAACAGAGAACCTACGGAAGTCTATATATATTTACTTGAAAAGCATACTTTTCTTAACATTTTCTACAACTAAAAACTATACTTTTACTATAGAAATATTTCGAAATATAAATTGACATCGAACTTTTGGATCATCAATTGTCATTGACTAAAAACAACATTCTCACTAAAATTTTCAATATTTCATTAGCACAGTCAAGTTGAACATGTTTTTATTTTATTTCAATCTTGAAGAAAAAAATTTCTACAGAAATATTTAAATATGATGAAGTTTTAAAGACAAATTTCAATTCTCTCAGCAAGACAACGTAATCGATACGGTCGATTTATTGGATATTGATTTAGTTGATGTTGAATTAGATGTGGAAAACAAGGTGATTCCACGTAATTGAAACTGATGAAGTCGATGTGAAGCAAAACAAGCTGTTGCAAATGATCAATAAGGAAATAAATAACGTTAACAATACGTTTTGTAGATTCATTTTCACCATCAACAATACGTGATGGTATCCATTTCCACCCATCACATGAATCATAGATTTTAAACAAAACCTTTTTCAAATTAGCTAATTGATTTGACAACAATCTGCCAAAATACTGAATATTTTTCAATGTCAATGTCATATCATCAATTTCCAATGTTTGTATCTAATTGATAGAAAATCTAATTTATTTTAAGAAATCATTTAAAAAAACTTCGTTCTATAAATTCAAACGTTTATAATAATCTTTCACTTCTAACATCAAATTGGAAGAATTTTAAAAAGAGACAATCTTAAAACGGTAAAAGTCAATTAAAGCACAATTTCCAGATAAACTAATTTCAATGAATTTTTTTTAATAGAAACCCTTACTTGTTGATTAACACGAGTTCCGAGATTATCAATATTATGTAATATCGCGTGGGAAAAAACTCCCCTATCATCACGTATAACCAGTGTATGGACATTATAAGCCATCCGTAATATTGATTCTAGTTCACCTGTAGTAACAACATCACCTTCATCAATTGAAATTTTTGTTAATAACGACCATGGAACTAATGATGATATGAAACTTCTAAAATTACTCAGCTCTGAAATACAATTCTCATTTCTACAACCAGTCAGGAATAACTCATTTGCACGTGGAAACAAATCTACGCCATTAGTTGGCATTTGACAAGATCTTAAATAGAAAGAAAGAATTCTGTAGATTATTTATACAAACAAGATATTTTCTACATACTTTTCCAGATCTCTAGAAAACAAATATGTTGAAATTATTCTGTCATTACATGGTGCAGTGAACACCATGAAACAATGGTAGTCATGGCCGACATAAAAATTACTATGTTCCTGAATGAATACTCTTTGTTCTTGTCGATTGGCAAATGGAACTTTCAAAAATGAATTGAAAATTATTTTTTCCTTTATATCATCTTGAACATCTAATTTTAAATTAATATTATAGGTTGCTCGTGGTTTGAGACGATTGATACACAATTGTTGAATAATGTCACCTGATATCACCAATGGACTCGAGATAACTACACGTGCTTGCAATTTTAATGATAGATGATTAAGTTGACCAAACACAAATAATAAAAGCGCAATAGTTCGATGAAAACTAATGCTATTTTTACAATTTATATGTAGACAAGATAAATGCAAAAGAAGATGAGCATCGACAGTGGTAGGTAGTCTAAAAAAGATTTATATAAGCGATACTTTTACAGATGATGGAATATTACTTACGAGTTTATATCAAAATTGTCGTGCTCATTCATTGCTAGATCATTGACACCAACAGAAAGATATTCAATAAATGGTATACACCGTAGTAAACGTTCAAGAAAGTATGATGTGTTCATACCAATGGTCAATGTACGAAGATGAGTTGTATTTAATAAATTTGGTAAACTCATTATTGGTACTACTGAATATTTGTTTAATTTATATAGATTTTTATGATAAACATTAAATGGAAGTCGACAATTTGTTAGACAAGGTATTTGCGAACACACCTTTTATAAATAAACAAAAGGTAAATTTTACGTACGATAATATTAAGAGATCGATGTTTAGACAAATCATCATATGGACGAAATATCGCAGGTATGACTGTCAGCAAGTGGGAATGCATGAAGTATTCATGCCCAATGTAGACACTCTTTCTAATATCATATGTATACCAGCATTTCATTTAGAACTCTAAGTTGCAACACTTTGCTCATGTGATGATTTGTCCGAGTGTCAAGAGATTTGTTTTGTTAAAGGATAAATCTAAAATTTCCAAATGAGTTCAAAAGATAGTGTTCTTCTTACCTTAGTTAAATAAACTCCTTCAATTTCAAGATAATGAAATGGATTACATGGTGTCACATCAACTAATAAAGTACGCAATCGTTTTATTAAAGGATTGCACAATATATTATCAAACTCATGTGGTGTAATATCGATCAGATGAAGACGCTGAAGCAATGTTGTTTGATAATATTTTAAAGACGATGAAACGAGCGACCATCCATCAATAACATTGGTTAATGTTATACGTAATGAAACAATTCGATTTCCGATTAATTTCAAAACATTTTGGCAAAGATCGTTGAACATCGAGAATGACATTGTTGAATCACCAATATGAATGTGCCACAAATATTCATGTATAACGATTCTTGAAAAATGTTTATTCAATGATAAAAATGATTGAAGAACATCAACGGGAGACAAATAACCGAATATTTCGAAAAGAACATCGGCAGGTAACAATTCAAACGCACTAACGATCATTTTATTCATGTGTCATATTCGTTCTTATTGAATGATATATATATATATATGTCGACGTGGATAAATGATATAATCGGTGTATTTTGTTTGAGGAGCATTGTTTTGATATTTGCTTACCTTTATGAATTGACCTCAACGAAAGAAAAAACATCGTCAGTTATTGAATGTATGTATGAACGATGAGAAAATGTGAATCGTTTCTTTTATTTACACATAGTACGTTATTAGATTTTTCTAAAGGATTGAAACCAGTGTTTCCAACAGCAAGTCTACCAAACAGAATCAAAATATATTAAACCCTGACGACATCCAATGTAGCGGCGTAACAAAAAAAATGCCGGATGATAGGACTCTGCTCCCAATTTTTTTCAAACTTATTGGATACATAGAAAGATGGTTTTGCGCAGCATAACATTGTATTTGCTTTTGAGAAAGTTGCCAGAGTCAACTATTTAACATCGTTTGAGAGATTTTTTTCAAACATCATGTTTTTAGGTGCAATGAACCTGAAAACTTATTGATATGAAAAATACTTAGGTCAGTCAAACAGTAGTGAGGGTGATGTCTTAATGTCTTATAGTAAGATGAAGGAGAAATTCCTTTCATATGAAATGATAGAGAAAAATGCTCTATCTTTCTATGTTATTTGATCATAGTTAAGTTAATATGATGATAGGAAAGTTTTCATAATGGAATTCCTACTCACTCAGAGTCCGTAATTATCGAAACACTGA